CTACCCAAGTGTGAAGAACTCAGCAGGCAATGAATGAGAAGCATTTAGAGGCTTTAAGCAGGAGAGCGATGCGGTTGGACTTGTACTTTGGATCCCTCCCTCCACTGAGCTCCCCTCCAGCTCAGCCCCACCCCACCCAGGGCAGAGGTGACGAAGAGCTGAAACAAGGAAACGCGGTGGGGAGGAGAGGAGCTCATGGATCAGAATTATGTGGAGGTAAAGTCTGTCGAAACTATGGACCCCTCAGGTGTTAGAGGTAAGGAAGAGGGGTGCTCAGAATACACATGCCTCCCACCTGGGGCATGGAGAGGGCAGCGTGGTCCCCTAGGGCCAGATCACAGCCATGAGGGCTGGGCTGGGGGGTACTGGGACATGCTGGTACCCAAGGGCATCTCTACCAGGATAACTGCTGCCCGCCAGAGAACCGACGCCGAGGCTCTATGGGAGACCAGGGTGGAGGGAGAGGCCACCACAGATGAGTAGTGAAACTGAAAGAAAGAGACCAGCTGAGGAGAGCAAGCCACAGATGCACAACAAGCCAAAGCCAGGCCACCCAGGAACAGGGGCAGCAGTGAGCAAGAACCGAGTGCCCATGAGGTGTGTCCACCTCATCCATGTTCTCAGAACTGTGTTGTCGTGGGAGTATAAACTGGTACGACCATTTGGGAGAGCAATTCGGCAACACCTGGAAGATGAAGACACTCACACCCTACAGCAAGTCTCCTCCTAGGAAAGAATCCCAGAAAAACTTGCAAAACTTCCACCTGCATATCAGTCACGTTAAGATAAACGTGTGATAACTCTTGGGATTACTGGGACACTAAAATAACTGGAAACAATCTAAATAAATGTTCAGGGGGAGGGTATAGCTCAGTGGTACAGTATGTGCCTAGCATGCACGAGGTCCTGGGTTCAATCCCCAGTACCTCCTTTAAAATAAATGCATAAACCTAATTACCTCCCCCACAATAAACAAATACATTTTAAATGTTTTAAATAAATAAATAAATAAATAAATAAATAAATAAATAATGTTCAAATGACATTTTTAAATGTCCTTATTTGGGACAATCCAAAACTTTGGAAAACTCAATTGTTTATCCTTTGGAAAGTTTTTTTTCTTTTTAAACCTAGAAGACTTGACAGTTAAAAATTAAAAAAAAAAACTCAAGGTTTAAATAGGTATTATTGGTTAAAATTTAAAACTTTAAAGGGCAAAGTAAAGTTTAAAAAACTAAAAAACTTTTTTTTTTTACAGAAATTATTCTAAAGCACTGTAAAGTCACCCTAGGGTGCACAGAGGATAACAAAATATAGGAATCATGGTTGGAAACATACATTTTTGACTACTTTGCTTTCTGACTAAAAGAGACAAAATTTCAAAGATCTAAATTGGCTGAAATGAATTATAATTAATTTTTCTTAGAAAAGTTAAAAAACAGAAGTAGATAAAAAGTTATAAAACCATCCCACAGTGTGCAGTGTGCAAAAAGTATCAGCCTCTTCCCTTTTCACCCACATCCACTCCCCCCACCCATAAAATTCTGACAGGAGGACCAACCACCGAGAGGCAAGGTGCAAGAGCAGCCCACAGCGCACGCGAGGTAGCCATGGCGACCAGCCGTTCCTGGAGCAGCCCACAGCGCACATAAGGTAGCCGTGGCGACCAGCCGCTCCTGGACGCCTGCTTAGGCCGGCTTTCCTGAAAGCCCGGCTCCCCCCCAGGCAGGGTCAGCGCCGCGCACTGGCGAGCGCCAGGGCCACTCCACCCTCAGCATTCCAGCAACGACTACACGTCTGCACACGCGGCACACCTGATGCTGGCCAGTCCTGGGGATGAGAGACGACAGGGACCAGGAGCTGCCTTTAGGGCTATGAACAGGCCAGGGAGACGGGACGGACAGCTGACCATCAGGCCAAGTGATGGCGATGTGACCCACTCTGCCTAGAGGGTCCGGGGTGAAGACGCCTAAGAGGAAGGGGCTGGCCAGCTGGCCTTGAAGCTGAGGAGACCCAGGTGCACACCCCTCCTCCCCATCGGGAGGCAGATGGTGCCTGGTTCTCGAGGCTGCCCACTGCCTGGCAGAGGGCTGGCGTGGAGCAGGCTGCCAGGGGATGCTTGCTCAGGCCTCTGTTCAGCCACTCTGAGCTCAAGAGGACACGGAATGACTGCATCAGTCTCTGTGTCCTCAGCGCCTAGCAAGGTCCTGGTGCGCGATGTGCATTCAGCCGAGGGAAGGACGGAAAAGCTGTGGAGCATCTGGGCTGCAGCGCAGCGTGCCAGGGGCCCGGGCGCTCGGCTCTGGCAGGAGGCGGCTGACGGCGTTTTGCAAAGCACAGCACTGAGAACGACTGTGCACACAAAGCTATCCCCACTTTAACAGGAGCCCTACACAACATCCATCATAGGAGAATGGTCAAATACATCACTTCCATTCACCTGATGGATTATTATAGCCACCAGACGTGATGGCTGAAAGCTGCATAACGACACGGGAAAATGCTGTGCTATTGCGTGACCCAGCGAGGATGGCCATGTTCTCAGTTTGGATACCTAAATGTGTTGGAGGGGGAAAGTAAGAAGGAGATGTATCAAAATGCTACCTGTGGGTTCTCGAGCTGGTAGGGTAACAGGTGACTTTTCATTTTCTGAATATGTATTTCTGTGTTACCTAACTTCTCTTCAGTGAGCACCTGTTGCTTTAGTTAGGGGAAAAGTCTCCTTAGAGTTTACATTTATCTTTATGTAATAATGTGAAGCAAACTTTATCTTAGATTCACATACTTAAAATAGGTCTTCCCCTTCTGCCTATAATAACAACAATAATTTTACTGGGTTTTTTCAAATGTAAGCATATTATACTTTTTAATGCATCACCTGAATTCAACCTCAAACACTCCATTCGAGGGAGTATGGCACTTTCCTGCACCTGGGGAAACTGAGGCATGGGGATGTTATGTGACGTGGTCAAGCTTGCTCACAGGAGAGAGCTGTGGCTTGTGACCTAGCCTTGTGACCCCTCACCCAAGATCCTCACCAATGTGCTCAACCATCCTCAGTGGAACTGAGAAAGAGCAATGCTTCATTTTTCTATTCTGAAACATTGAGGCATCTGAGATTTTGAAGCTATGAGCTTCCAGGCATCTAAGAACACATAAAACTTTCTTCACTGGCCTCTTTATTTGCACCTGACTGTGACTGCTGCCTCCTCTTCCCATCACTGTTCATTTCCTATCAGTTTACACACTATTTTAACAAAAAATAATCTCTAGTTTAATGAGCAAAGGGAAGTGATCACAGGGAGGCTGATGCGTGCGCTTCTCCCAGGATCAGCTGACACCCATGAAGCTGGGACAGGGACCCGGAGGAGGAAAGCTGCTCTGCAGAAGGCGGAGCTCACCCTCCCACCATCCTCTCTCAGCACCCGCTCTAAGAGGCAGAGGCAGTGCCAGGGTGGGGGACAAGCTCGGGCCTGGAGCTGTAGAGGTCTGACTCCAAACCCCAACTCAGGCGCTCAGCAGTGGCACCTCAGGAAGATGTTTAGTGGCTTTGATCCTCAGTTTTCTCCCAAGAAAAGTGGGAGTAACGATACCTCCACGCGTACGGCTTTGCGCAGCTGTGCAGCTGCTGGCGTGAGGCTGGGGCTCCTCGGCCTGGGCAGAAGCTCAAGTAAGCTCAGACACTCTCTGCTGGGCAAGAGGGATGCTCAAATGAAAGACAGGGCTGCAGCCCTTAAGGCACAGCTGAGCAGCTGGAAGACAAGAAGACACTCAAGGATAATCCGGTAAGGTAACTGCTGTCACTGCTGTCACTGCTGCGCCAGAGCAGCAGGAATGGGAGAGGGGCCGTGAGGTCGGCCTTGGGAAGGCAGGGAAGTGCCAGGCCTCCTGCTGTGGGCGGTGACTGAGGGCCCCAGCGCTGCCCCTGGGGATTCACCACTGCATTCATTTACAGAAGCCGTCTTGTCCCCAGCTGCTTTCAGCCAGTGAGCAGGGCAGGGGTACTAACACAGCCCTTTCCCATGAGACATGTGCGCCTTTAACAGGTGACCTTAGCTTGAGGACTCTGCATTAGCCTGGCCAAAGCTTCCTCAGAACCGCACAGCAGTCTGAGATCTTTCTCCCCCACCCTCCACCCAGAACTCCTTCCTTCTCCTGGTCTTGGGGTTTTTGGAGTCTTCCCTGGGCCCACCCCTCAGTCCTACACAGATATTTCCCCTCAGAAATCTCTGGCACGTCTGCTTCTGCCTTGGCCTCTGCTTCTCGGAGACCCTGAGCTCACACACCCTCGATGGTAGCCTAGCCGGCCAGGCGGGCTGCCGAGCCCAGGGGCAGAGTGCGGAGAGAGCAGTGACCCAAGAGCAGGTCCACCTCCCCGGTCTGTTTGTCTGGATGTAGTAACTGCTCTGCTGGCTCCCAGGGCCCCAGGTGACCCCCACCCGGCACTTGCTCGCTCGCAGACAGCTCAGCCTGGCCTTGGTGGGCGCCTTCTTCAGGGGTCAGTCGCTGAAGCCACGCACGTGGAACCTCCCCAACCAAGGCTTAATTCAGGTCACATTTCAGCTCTAATTCTCAAGTTGCTGACTGAAGCACAATATTTTTAGAAGTACCTGGGATCCTAAAAGAGTCTTTGTGTAATAGTCTCGAGGCATGAAAACTTCCACGATGGTGACTAGACACCAGAAAGCATCTTCTTGTTCCAGGTACAGGAGGGCCACTGCCACCAATCTACAAGCAAATGGAGAACAAGGTGAGCTCCAGTCCCCGCCCAGCCCCCCGCCCAGACACAGGCAGTGCGGTCTGTCTCCACAGAGGCCTCCGCAGTGTGCACGGCCACGGCCACTTCTAGTTCTCCAAGAAAGAAGATGAAGTAAGTGTTCCGTGGGGAGGGAGGTATTTCCTAGTTTGAGAAGCAAAGCTGCATCCCGCCTCTCCTTCATTTGGTTTTTGTCTAAAGATGACAAAATGGTTTCCCAATGATTAGCCAGCCTCATTCAAAAAAATGTTTTCACTGTAAGATTTTTGCTAATGAAGCTAATTCTTTGAGTTTATTGTTCAAGAAGTTCCAATTAATCCTTTTATGCACAAAACATTCAGGGGTGAATGTAAGGGGCAGAGAACAGATGACAGTTTAAAAACCTCTTTCCTGATACCATTCTGCTTGAAATGAGGCTTCAGACAAATGAACCACCATGAGGGGCTTTCTGAAAGAACCACAGCTACAGCAGGCACGTGGGGTGGGAAAGGGGACCTATGTATTAACTGTTACATTAGGTCTGGATACTTACATTGTCATTACTGATCCAGTAACCCCAGGTGATGCGGAAGACATTCAGGGCAGAAGGATGGAAAGGAAGAGGGGAGAGAAAAGACACTCTCTACACATCTGAAATCCAAGACCTTGGCTTGGGACATGAAGCTTCTGCGCATCACTTACGGGAAAACCCTAAAGCTACTTCTTGGTTTGTCTTTGTTTTTTCTTCCTTAAATAAAACTATAATGAAATCTCAAATTAAAAGGTTAAAAAAAAGACCTGGGGTAGGTGGGAAGGGATGCCTTGAGTAGGCACGAGTGAGATGAAGAGGAGAAAGATGGACACAGAGAGAAAACCAGGACACGCACCGAACCCGGAGACACCAGAAAAAGGGGTAATGGGTCTGAAATCAGCAGAGCCCTTGACATCACGTTAAACTAACCGATGTTTAAGGCAACAGGCCTGAATCATTGAGAAATGGCTAGAGTTCTTCTGCTAGTTTTGGGTTCTCAGAACACGTGGACAAAGTATTTTGAAGAAAACAATCCAATCCGATAAAATGGTTAAAATTTAGAGGCCCTAATGGTGATGGCGTGGAGGTGCAGAGGAGGCTCCGACTTTCTGGAAATTGTACTTCTGTGCGGAAAACTGGGGCTGTGACAAGGTCAGATAAATGGGGCGCGCGCTCCAGTCCTTGTCAGAACCCTGTACGTTTCAGAGGTTTTCGGCTTCCAGGAATTTTTAGACTGAGTATACAATGTAAATTGTGGATTTAAGCAAAACAAAACAGTTTGGTTAGGCAATATCTTATTTACAGGCCCTTTTCCTTTTTTTTTTTAAATGGGGACCACCAAGGAGTAGCCAAAGACCCTTTTACTTCAAGGGCTCAGAGAGACCACCCTGTCCTGACCACCAGAGAGACAATGACTTCCAGAAACCACTGCCTTCAGGTCTTAACCAAGTAACATTCCAGTTTAAAAACCTTTCTTCCTGCCATCCTCTCAATGCAGACGCAAAGAGACAGCCCTCATCTGGAGGTCAGTAATCCACACAGATGAGGATTAAAAAGGCCTGTGAGCAGCCAGAACAAATGGCAGCATTCAAAACTCCATGCATGCACTTGACCCACAGGAGAGCCGCTAAAGAACGCACACAGAGCTTCTTCAGTCTTACTCTGTCCTTGTTCCTAACAGGCTTGGTTACCTGCTCTGACTACACAGAGGAACAGAAACGGACACTGTCACGACTGCAGTGAGCAGTGAGCGGGAGAAGCACGTTAGCCAGGAAGAGACACCCGGGGGAAGAAGCCGCCACAAGCGCCCCATGTCAGTGACGGAGCCTCAGCACCTCTGCGGGCTCGTCCTGGTGTAACTCAGCTCACAGTGAGGAGCCTGGGCCATTAAGGGGATGCGGGAGGCTTTTCTGTGTCTTCTGACTGTGGAAGCGGGGAAGGATGTGGACCTGCAGAAGGCTCTAGTCCAAAAGAAAACAAGTTTGGCCTCTTCAAGGGCTAGGTTTCAACCAGCTGAAGGAGTGTTTGGGGCAGCCTCCTGAGTCACAAAGCTCCTGTACAGACAAGGAGCAGCCTCCTTTCTACGACGTGCATTACAAACTAATGAAACCAAGCTGCTGATGAAAACCCGAGGGTCGCGGGAACAACAAGGAATCAGAATGAGAAACCTAGTTGCTTCAAGCAGTTTGACTGTGGTGTTTTTAATACTTTCTGAAAGCATGTCTGTTTCTCTTAGTTATTTTAGAATTGGGGATGTTGCATAATTAAAACTCACTTACCGCAGCTACTTCTTTTTCTTAAAAGACATGCTTTCTTGGCTCTCCAGGAGGGGAGGGCAGTGTCAGGTGTTACAAGCTATCTTACCAGCAAACAGGAACGTTCTGTGGGCCGAGAACCCACCTATTTAGACCTTGGCAGTAGCCGATGTCCGGGTTCCGCCAGGAGAAGGCGAGCAGGACGTTGCGCAACTTCTGTATGCCTTCGGAGGTGGGGCACGAGTAATGCTTGTTGTTGGGCAGAGTCCGCAGCAGGTCCAGCTCGATCTGCTTGGAGGCCGGGTTCTGCTTCTCCAGCGCCTTCTGAAGCAAGGTCTGGAAGTAACCAGGCTTCGTGCCGTCCTTGAATTTCCTGGTGTGAAGGTCCACACACCACTTCCACACCTTGGAACGGTGCTCGTGTGGAATGCCCGCCCGGATCAGGTTCTTTAACTCCGGCGAGCACATCATCTCTCTGTTCATCGTGCTTGCAAAATAGTTTTCCCACTTGACCCCCGTGGAAACCTCCTGGTTTTCTGTGAGGTAGAGGGTCTTCAGGTCCAATGCCCGGACTTTGGCGACCAACTTCTCCTCCTCGTCATCCTCTGGGACAGTCCTAAACCCATAAATGTCATATTCACTGTTGAGAAAAACAAAAGCAAAAGTTGAACGATTCAATCTGGGCAAAAAAGCCAATGAAACAGAAAAGAGAACCTAGAAATCCACCCACGTGTAGCGGCACTTTGATATAAGAGGAAACTCAGTGAGGAAATAATAAACTTCTTAACAAACAGGGTGAGGATAACTGGTTATCCATACAGAAAAAAACTGTTAGATCTCTTTTTGATATTATACAGAAAAGAAGTCAATTCTTGATGGCTGAGGGGCTAAATGTGAAAAGCACAGAAGAAAATACAAGCAGTATTGCAAACACAAATATTTGTAAGATATCAGGGATGAAAAAGAATTAAGGCTGTGGTACGCAGAATAATGGCCCCCAAAGACATCCCTGGAACCTGAGAATATGTGACGTTACATGGCAAAAGGAACACTGCATGTGGAATTATGAATTATGGTTACAGAACTTAAGACAGGGAGATTACCCTGGGTTCCCTGGATAGGACCACACTAATCATAGGAGCCCTTAAAAGTGGAAGATCTGACCAGAGAGATGCAACAATGGAAGAAGAGGCAGAGGGGTTGTGAGGTGTGAGAGGGCCTGGTGCCACTGTTGCTGGCTTTGAAGATGGAAGAAGGGGGCCACAAGCCAAGGAATGCAGGTGGCCTCCTGAAGCTGGGAATGGCTACACCTGACAGCCAGCAAGGAAACAGAGGCCGAGTCCTACAACCAGAAGGAACTGTCAATAGCCTGAATGAGCAAGGACACAAATTGTCTCCTAGAGCCTCCAGAAAGAACATAACACTGCTGATACCCTGACTGTCAGTCAGTGAGACCGTGCTGGACTGCTGACCTGTGGAACGATTAGATAATGAATATGCATAAGCCACTAAGTTTGTGATGATTTGGCATGGCAGTCACAGAAAACCAATACAAAGGACTTTCACACACTGCCGCTGAGTGTGTAAACTTGAACACTTTGGAAACTGGATCCAGCAGAGCTGAAGATACACACTCCCTCTAAGTTAGGAATTCCACCTCTAGCCTACATCCTGGAGAAACTCTCTCACGTGGACACAGGGAAACAAGGAAACGTGTACCATGATGTTTACTGCATCACGGGTTGTCAGATGGGAAAATGGAACTATTCTAAGTGTCCACCACAAGAGAAAGGAATAAAGATGTGATACACTCATATAATGAAGTGGTGTGAGGCAGGTGAAAAAGGATACTCAGGAGCTACATGCACTAACGTGTAATTTCAGAAAATAATGCTGAAAGAAGTAAGTTGCAAAAAAACCGAATATGGTAGGATTAGCATATTAAAAAGTGTTTTTGGAGGGGAGGGCATACCTCAGTGATGGAGCGCGTGCTTAGTGTGCACGAGGTCCTGGGTTGAATCCATGGTACTTTCATTTAAAAAAATTTTTTTTAAATAAATGTAATTACCACTCCTCCTCCCCAAAAAAGCTTAAAAAATAGATTATATTTTAAAAAGTGTCTTCAATTAGAAGTACATATTGAAGTGTTTAAAGGTGAAGTGATATGCCTGACACTTGCTCTAAAACATTCCAGGAAAAAAAAAACTTTGGGGGAGAGAGGGTAAGAAGAAACAAGATTGGCAAAACATTAATAATTGCTAAATTATTGGGTAACAGCTGCATGTGGGAGTTGTTATGTGATTCTATTACTTTGTATGTTTGGAATTTTCCATAATGAAAAGTTAAATCCATACACACATCTATCGGTCTACTTCTACATGAAGTCTGAAAGCACAGAACAGAAACAGTGAGAGCCCACACCGCACCTGGGAAGACGGTGAGGTGCCTCGGGGCAGACTGCCGGACCGCCCTCACGGCAGCTCCCCGCCTCCGTGAACAAAGCAGGAGTGCGCGGTGTGGAGAGGGCGCTCTGTGCCCGGGAACCGGCCGCCCAGACTGGGGTCCTGTCCTTGCCACTCACCGGCTGTGTGACCCTGGGCAAGTTACATCACCTCTCTAACCGCAGCTTCTGCATTTGTGGAGTGAGGATACCAACAGCCACCTCACTGAGCATGAAATACGAGCCCGCGTGTAAAGCCCTGGGTGCAGGTCCCGGCACACAGACCTCAGAGTTCTGTAACGCTGCTGTTGGCTGTATTCTGACAGCGTAGTTCTGTCACCTGAGCGGCCTGAACAAGAGGCCAGTGCTGGAGGCGCGGAGAAGGGAAGGAGTGGGTCAAGCCGAAACAAGGCTCTGCCAGGGCCGGGATGGAGCAGACGCGGGGCCACATCAGCAAGCGGGCCCTCGACACGGGGCTATGGGGAGCCGCAAAGGGGCGGAAACAGGAGACTGGGCTGCGTGAACCTGCAGATTTCTCCTTGCTCCAATATTTCACAAATCTCATTTTTCCGAAACTAGGATATGAAGGTTCTTAATTCAATATCAGTCAGAGGCTCCATGATTTTCTGAAAAATAGAGCAATACTATGCATGTGCCCAAGAGCATTTTGGGGCCAAGTGTGTCCATGGCTCTTAACAGACCCTCAGTGAGTTAAGAACCACTGATCAGGTTACCCTAGTGTCTCCCACGAACGGAGGAGGGTCCCCACTTAGGGGACCCCTCTGCTTTCTCACACCCGTGGGTGCAGCTGTGTCTCACAAGAGGGGTCTACTCCTAGAAGACTGGCTCCTCTCACAGCAGGACTGGAACCAAGGCTACCGTCCACGCTGGTGTGGCCCACAGGAGACAGGTCTTGGAATCAAAGACCTGGGCTGAATGCCAACTCTGTTACTTGATTATTATAGCAAGAATGATGAGATTATCTGTTCTGATGTCTGTGCAGTGCTTGTCATGAGCATCAAATGAGACACAGACAACTACCTATGTAAAGTTCTCCGTGAACGGCTACTGCTGTTGAAAGAGGAGCTTGAGAAGTGGGTCCCGCTGTCCCCAACCGTTGCCAACACCTTTACCTGACAAGATGAGGCTTAACAAATGCCTGCTCCGAGTGCTCCTGGCTCTCGACCTGCAGAGCGTCCTCCAGCAGCTGGGCTATGACATCCCGAGCAGGCCCCTGTTCTTCTGAGCAAACCGGGGTCTTCATTTCTTGGAGCAATATCAAGTATTTGCTTTCTATCTGGCAGAGCTTGGCTTCCAGGCTAGAATACTGCAGAGAACGTGGTGGTTACCTCCATCCAGACAGAGACACAGGAAAGGCAGTCCTTAAGTACCCCAGGCAACCAGTGAACGACAAGCCCCAGACTACTAGGAAGTGAGCCGGAAGAGGCTGTGTCAAAGACCAGAGATGAATTTATGCCACAGGCCCCCTGCTTTGTTTAAAATGGCCTGCGTGGGCCCCCCTCTTCCTTCAAGGGGGTCTGGTACAGGAGAAGTACTGATAATAAGGCCTCCGGATGTCAATGTATGTATCAGCTCTGGGCAGGGTTGAGGTGACCAGAAGAAACCAGGCCACACGCCAATTACTGAGGTCAAGCTGAGTGCCACTTGGCACCTGGGCCCGAAGCAGCCACCCCATGTTACATCAATACCATCTTAGGATGCTGTGACCCAGGACTAGCTCCCATCTGCCACCTTACATCAGACAAGTCAATACAACCCTGGGAAACACGCAGGAACAGGTTTGGGAAGATGCTTCAAGGACTGCTCAAAAGCTATACAAGATGTAACAGCTGTGGACAGAGAGTCACTGAATTTCATTTGATATAACTGTAATGCCTGTGATGTCTTTACACTTTGCAAAGCGTCTTCCAGCCACAATCACATTTGACTCTCATACCATGGGGTCCACAGAGGCGGCGCCATACTCACCATCCCCATTTATAGATATGAAACTGATTCACACAACTCAATCGTGTAAATCAAAATCCAAATACCCCCAAATAATCTGGGGGATCTTAGAACTGTATTTAATTGTTTTTCTGTAAATTTTACTATGTGTGTGAGTAAAAGCCACATCTCGGGGCATTTCTATTTGTTTTCATCACAGAGAAAGTGAGAGACTAAGTACACAGAGCTATGGATTGTATGTATTTTAAATATATTTTGGTATCAGCGACCACATCCCTCCAAGCATGGGGACTGAACTGATTTTAAAACATCCATTTTTAAACGGTTTCAGGTAACAGAATATATCCATCCTCACCCACCTTTGCCATCAGATCCCTCTCTCTTCTTTCTGCATTCCTCCGTAGAGCTGACAGTTCCAAGATTTCCTTATTTAGAAATTTATTTTGGGTTTTGTACCCCTGTAGATTATCCTGTTGGAGAAAAAAATGGAGTCCCTCAATTCACATCGGCTGAGTGCTGACTAATTATTCTATATAATCGATATTTTGCTGCCTCATCAATCAAATCACTCTGCTAACTTGGAGCGAGTCTAAGGAGCTGAAAGCTGACTACTGGGCACTTTCCGTTTAAATTCTGTGGCCGCCCTTGGCAGCAGAAGGAAGGCCAGGGCTACTTCTGTGATGAAGGAGATGGGGAAATAAATTTATTTAATGGTAGTGATTTTTCTCAACCGATCTTAGGAAATGTAAGTAGGACTTACGCCCTAAATCTATGCAAATATTTTATCTATCTACATTCATTAATGTGGTAAAAGGCAATACCCTCCATTCATTTTCTTTTTAACTACAGAAACTAAATAAGTTTCCTGTAGATCCTCATTTTCACTTGTTCAGTTTATGCAGAAAAGGCTGCACACATAAACAATGCCCTTAACTAAAGAATGACACTTAATAATGAATACCCATAACCTACAGTGCATAAGGCACTTTCAAGGACATGTTCCTCAACTCTTTTACGTTGAAAACATTCAAACTTAGGAAAAACCGAAAGAAAAGTACAAAAAACACAATACACCCGTCACCTTCATTTGCCGAATGTTAACTTCTGCCACATTTGCTTTATGTTTTTAAGAGAACATCAAGAGCTGGTGACAAGTTCTGCCAAGTCTGACTAAAAGTCCAGGTCTGGTAGAAGTGGGTGTCATATGTCAGCTTCAGCCCGTGAAACTCCAACCAAGGAAAGTGAAAGGAAATCTCTGAGACAATTAGGGCACTGATTTCTGAATCCTCCCTACCAAATTCAGTCATTTACAAATGTGTTTTTCCCCTACTCTGTTTGAAGTTCCCTAGGAATTTCTGATCCCTCAATCACAGCAGAAACTCTGCTCATGACAGCTCCAAGGCAGACCGGGGTGATCAAGAGAAGCACTGAGTCCTGGGCCGTCCCAGGACAGAGACCACGGCCACGCCCCGGAGAGGCATCCAGAGACACAGTAGTACGACGTGCGTCAGGAGGACAGGACATCACAGTCTGCCATCTGTGTCTTTAAGTTAAAATTCGTGTCATCGTCTAAGGAAGTTCTGATCATTTATCTTAAGGATTCTTTCTCTAGAATGATGATGATGATCACAGCAAGCGAAGACTCTGAGGTGCCCGGTGCTGAGTGGGGGCTTTACCTGGAGTACCTCTTTTAATCCTTACAAGACCCTAGGAGGCGAGCGCTGTTTCATGGATGAACACTGAGGCAGAGAGGGGAGCTAGCCTGCCCGATGTTAGAGTTCCTAAGAGGTGAAGCTGGGTTTGAACCCAGCCAGGTCTGGCTCCACAGCCTGTGCTCAGTCTAAACCACCATCCCATACGGGCTCCATCCCCTTCCACACTGGTGCTTATTACAGTTGTGATTATGCTTTTATCTTTGTGCTTTCTAAACTAAACTGCGGGCTCCAGGAGGACAGAGGCCGTGTACTTTGTGCAGAGTACAAAGCCTGGCGCATGGCTGACTGAGTGAATGAAAGAGACCGAAGAAGGAAAAGCTGTGTGCGTGGAGATGTTCATGAAATAGCAAATCACAGCAAAGATGACAAAGGTTGATTAAGTAAATAACAGAGTCAAAAGATGGACAATTCTGGAATCATTAATGACAGCAACACAGAAAGTGCCTGGGCTCTAAGGCCGAATGACAAAAATCTATCTACCACAAAAGTGAACGAATTAAGTAAACATGAAAAAGGCCGGGAAGGAAGTATGAGAAAAATAAAGTCTTTAGATCATTAGGGTGGTAAAATCCTGAGCCCAATATTTGTTCCTGCCTCGTCATGCTACAGGAACAGAAACTGACCATGAATTAGACCAAAAAAGAAATGTTAGAATATCCTAAAAAGCAGAAATCATTACAGGCCACACACATTGAATCTAAAGCAAGAAACAGAGAGTAACAGTAACAACAAAAAAGAAGGCTTCCCCCCACAGATACACACATACAATTTCTTCCCTACCTAGACAAAGGGAGCAAGCACATGGAAACCACGCAGTGTCCAGACGTGAAGGACGATGAGACTCCCCATTTCCGTTCTTCCGGAGCCACACAGGGGAAGTGGGGGTGTGAGCGTCTGCGCGGTATGCAGATGCCTGGCAATAACCGGCCAGGCAGAGCAGTGGCAGAAAACAGGGGGACGCTGAGCCAGGCAGGACTCACTCAGAAGGCATGGGCCACAGTGAGGTCCCTCCACAACCAGCCTGCCTCCTTTCAAGCTAGGTCACCACTTCACCTGACTGTTGTAGAATTCTGGAGCCACAGGCTTTATAAATTAAGTTGAGAAACGTGGGAGGAAAAATGTCACCCACTATGCTGCACAAAGAAAAGGGCGAGAAGTCGAACTCTGATCAGCTCTGTCAGCTTCTCTAACAGGAGTGTGTGGAGCCACAGCAACAAAGCGCCCGCCCCCCGCCCCACCGCACACCCTGGCTTGGCTCCCCTGGAAAGCGTGCTCCCGCCTTCCCCCACTGCCCCACACCGCTCACTGCAACCCGGACACCAAACACTCTGGCATTATTCTCTAAATATTATAAAAATAGACATGCTTGCAAAATAGAACATTCAGCTGACATTAAATAAGCAGTCATAAAATGTGTTACCAATGGGGTGTGTACGTAGGGTCAGGTACAGTCTAGGTTGTGGATATAAACAAAAACACTTTCACTGGCAACTCTAACCAAGAACCCCTGCCACCACCCCCCCTTATTTTTTAAACACAGCTATTCTTGCAGCAGATCTAATTATAAAGTAATGAGGCTGAGGGTTTGGGTGGTGGTGTTGCCCTTTTGGTTTTTCTCACCAATAAATCCTTCTGGCCTCATATCTACTGGGTGCTGTCAGCTGTCACTGAGAAACAGTCACCATAGGAGACTATGAACATATTCCAAAAGTTGCCATTATTGCAGTTTTTAATTTCCATTTTGGAATAATCTCTAAGGCCCAGGCATGCCGATCAGTTATCCATCCGCAGACACTGCATGAAAGGTACTATGAGGCATGAAGCAAAGGTTCAGTAACAACCTGGCCAGCGGCGAACCTTTGCCCCTCGAGGGTAAACTGCATTTGGGGGCAAAACAAATTCAGTGCCACACTACCTGCAAAATGAGAGCAGCCAGGTGAGGAAGACTCTGGGGCTAGGTGGGACAGGTAGCTACAGACCTTTCTGGGGTCAGCTGGGGTCAACTGGGCCACATCCAATGCCTCATGTCCTAGGGGACACTTCTCCACCCAAAACTTCTCCAAATCAAGAACTGGTGGCAGCAAAACTTCTGTGACCCTCTCTATGCCCTGACAGCGGTCCTAGGCCATGCTCAGCCCTCTCCTCGGGACCAGCAGGATTCTCCACAGGCACAGAGTCCCTGCGTCCCACAGATGCCGTGTGTTCTTCCCACCTCATCAGCTGGTCACCACGCTGGGTGTGACTGGGAGAGTCACCTGTGTTCAGGAACCAGCGTCCCATCCCTGGGATCAGCCTAGAGAGGGACACAGGGAGGAGAGCTCTGCCTTCCCTCTTGAGTGTCAGGATCCGCCTGCTTTAGGCGCAGGGTGGGAGCACCAACTCTGAGCAGACCCTCTTTCCAGGAGGGCTTGGGAGCCAGGGCCCACCTCCCCAGCAGACCCACACTAGCTGCTGGGAACAACGCTCCCTCATCTGGCCTCTACCAGGTCCTGGGGAAGGCTGTGCAATGATGCTGGTATGAGCATCTGTGCACAGAGGGGGCAAGAAAGCCTCCAGACATTACGAGGAACAATGAAGTTCTAAGGGTGTATAAATAGAGAAGTCTCGGCTGCCTGAGAGCAAGGGAGGGGAAGACATGAAACTATTCTGAGCTATGGTGACATTGGTGGACTCAGACTTTCATTTTCCAAGGAAGCTTCTTAGAAAACAGTTATCTGACTGTAAGTCCTGTGACATTTGTTTGAAAAAAAAAAAAAAGCACAGCTGCTCTGTTACATCAAATGAGCTCGCTGAGGCCAGCAGCTCTAGAGCGACATTGACAGACTGTTAATGGGCTCTGGATTTCTTGTCTCATGATGGGAGCCCACACCCTGCTCTTACTTTCAGCCTGTCCAGTTCCAGCTGCTCCCTGCTGGCGAGAGCGGCGGTGGGCGAGCCGGGCGAGGTGGTGGGAGAAGACACGCTGCCCTCACACTCGCTCAGCTGCCGCGAGAGCTTGATGATGACCTCGTCCTTGGCCTGGATGGTCTCCATCAGCATCCCCAGCCGCTCGCTAAGCTCGCCCACTTTGCTCTTCAGCGTCCTCACTTCCTGCTGAAGGCTCTCTTTTTCCAGGTTGAACTTCTCAAGCTGGCTGGTGAGGCCCAGAATCTGGTCATCCTTCTGGTGCAGAAGCCCCAGTGTGTCCTGCGGGACCCCCTCACAGAGGCGGCTGCTCGTGAAGTACTTGTCATACTGGGAGGACCGCACCGTCTGCTGCAGCAGCCGCACCAGCTCCTGGGAAGCCGAGGAGGATGGAGTGAGGAGCAGGGACAGGAGGAAAAGCAGAAATCGTGACAACCCTACACGGAGCCCCCACTGGAATCTGAGCAAATGCAGAAACTTTACTGGAAATATTTGAATATCGAACTTCCTCTTGAAGGATCTCAAAAATAGAGAAGGAAAAATACTTATTCCATAAAGGCTGTCTGCAGAGAACAATAATAGGAAACAGGAAATAGTGGACAGGCAGACTGCAGTGAGCAATGGTTCCCAGTAAATCCGTATTAAAAAATCTGAGCTCTAAACTCACTGATCTGCAGAGGAATTGGTATAATTAGGTTTGATCAGCTCAGAAGGAAACTGTTTAACAGGATGTGGAAACTCTTTTAACAACTGTTCATGAAGCTGCACTCAGAGACTGGACGTCAGGGCAGGAGTGGGTGAGGGGCAGGCAATACCCTGCCCCTTCAGAACCCTCAGGTTCTGTCCTGAGGTGGGTCTTCACTTTCCTCGGAAATTCAAATGTCTCTGAACAAACGATCAAGCAGAGCAGCAGTGTCTAGGACAGCGGCCCTGGCAACATACAACTTTTAGGGGGAAGCACCTCTGGGAAATAAAAGTCAGAAAAACGAAAGCCAGGCTTTGCTCCTCTGGTTTCTGGACTGCTGCTGTGACAGGAGATAGAAATGTGAGGAGGGAGAATTACCTTCTGACTGGATAAGTCCTTCTTTAACCGCTCCAGCTCTTCCTGCTGGTTCTGCACCTGCAGCTGCATCTCAGAGGCCGGCTTGCTGGCACCACCACTGCCCGATGTCCCCTCGGCTGAAGGGTCACCACTACTGTGACGATTTCTGTACGATCCAATCATGTCTTTCAAAGGACGCTTTCCTTTGTAGGGAATACGTCCAAAATCAAAGGGAAATCCTGAGCCAGTTACCCCTACGTAAAAACAAAACTTGTTTTTTTAAGTGCAGGCCAAATCTTCCTTTCGGAAATTCGAACAAAACACATTAGCATCTCACCTATCGTCTTCCAGGAAGTTGTGCATTCATCACTCTCTGCCCCGCCTCATTCTCAATAATAACTAGGCTTAAAACCAAAGATGATTCCCCCACTGGATCCTTCATGTGATTGCTTCTAAAGAAAGCTTTCTCTATGTGATCGCTCAGTCTTTGCCTTAGAACAGATGGAGAAAGGCAGACTGTATACCAGCACTAGTGAGGAATTTATGACAAAACGGTACCACACCCCCTCAAGATTCTTCTGTGATGCTAAGTTTAATTTTCCAAAAGATCAGCTCCAAGCCTATATGTTCACATCACTGTTTTCCAATTTTGGGTACTTTCAGGACCAATGAGAACAGAGACACAGGCCAGGGAAGAACATGGTTGCTCCGAGTTCCCACAGCACCCTGAAAACAAGGTGTCCCTTCCCCAGAGATGGGTCCCCACCTACAAATGAGATAGTTGGTTCCAAGGGTAGGACTCAGAAACATACGAGGGATCCTTGGCTTCTTATTTTTTGCTAATCTGTCCTTAGTAAAAACAAAACAAAACAAGAAACCCCAAATGTATCTTTTCTTAATTGCAAACACGTTTTATTCTCTTCCTTAAAAATGAGTACTTAAAAATGTCGATGGATCCAAATAAACTTTAGTGTAAGTGGATTCAGACATACATTCAAAATATAAAGACGTTACTGAATAAAGATCTCTGGAGGGCGAGTGCTAAGAAGCAGCATTTTAAACACACACACACACACACACACACACAATACAGAGAGGAGACACACATACTCTATAGATTCCATTTATACAAATCTAGAAAACAGGCGAAACAAATCTACGTCGTCAGCAGTCAGGCCAGTGGCTCTGGGGGGCGGCGGGGCAGGCAGGGTGGGACTGGAAGGTGTCTGGGGATAGGGGTCGGCTCCTGGTTCTGTCCTGTTTCTTCAAGCAAGTGCTGGCTACATGGGTATGTTCACTTGGTGGAGACGAATCACGCTACACATTTCTGATTGGGGACTTTTCTGCATGTTACTATTAATACTTTGATTAAAAATTTTACTTAAAAATAGAGGGGAAAACACAAGGAAGAACAACTTCCTCCCCATGAGTATCATGGACAAGAAGCTGGTGGGCTGATTCTTGGAGCTATTACAGAAAATACCGTGAATCAGCAAGATAAAAATCCAGATCCATCTCTGTCCCTCCATGCCTTTCAAACAGGCTCCCTCCCAAGGGGAGCAGGGGCTGGGCAGAGGCTGAGAGGGCTGCTCCCCACAAGAAGCTGCTCCCTAAGGGTGTGAGGAGCTTCCTGACCAGCCCGGCACTAAGCCTTACCAATTTTTCCCTCCCACTCTTTCACCACTCACCCTTGCATTCCTAGTCTCCACGGGCAATCAGAGCCAACACCGTTTATCTCAAACAATCTAAATCCCTGTTCCTCCGGAAAGCACACCCAGTTCACAACGAGCCCCTCTCCTGGGTGACCCCGCCAGCTGTGCCACGTGCTGGGTCACGAGGCACACTCAGCTTGGCCACATCTTCACCATGACACACTGGACCACAGGGTCCCACGCTACCATCCTGTGGATCACAGGTAAACTCCCCACCAAAGCAAGTCATGGTGGGCCCTCCCCAGGCGACAGAAAAAAATATCTCCTTTGGTAAATACTCGCTCTCGGTAAAGACTTCCTAAAGTCCTGCCTCCTGGTCCTCCTAGCTCATGCTAGAATTAAGCATAAGGCAGAAATTCAAAATTATTGATTGTTATTTTACATTTAAAACATCAGTGTTCCCTCAGTGGATCGACAGGTGTAGGATCATGAAGGGCTGCTTCATGCATCAGGCAAAAGGCTAGGGGAGACAAGTACGAAGGGTCAGGCTGACACCCTAAAGTAAATCCTGATCACCCTTAACATCACACAAGGAGGGAAAAGCAGACACGACGTGGCTCCCCATGTAGTGCAGCAGGAAATACACAGCGCCCCCGCCCCCGCCCCCGCCAAAACACTCTTGTCGTAATTAGCAGCCAACCCTGAATCTGGGCAGGCCTCTGCTCCAGCGACCAGCGTGCGGAAAATACGGGGACAGAGGAGCATGTTAAGTGACCCCAGAGAAATGCAACTCTGCAAAATTCAGAATGGGGGAAATTCCTTGATACAAAGACCCTGTTTTTTCCATCAAGCATAGAACAGAAGACAAAAAAAAAAAGACAGAGCTGCTCAGACTAAAAGAGACCTAAAAAGACGCACAACTAAACCCCCTGGGGTGTTAGCGCCTCATCTGAGTAGACTGTCTGCAAGCAGATGTTTGTGAAATAACTGGGGAAGCAGAAAATAAGGATTTACGTAACTGCTTTTAGCTAAAATAATGAAGCTGTGGTTATGATTTTTTTAAAAGAGTCATCTCTTAGAGATACATACTAGAATGTTTACAGATGCAGTGGATTAATGTCTAGAATGCGACTTAAAATAATCCAGCTGACGGTGGGTGCAGGGAGGGGCAGGAGCTCAGAGGAGGTAAGAGAGGCTGTAAATCCAAAACTGTGGAATATGACGTATTTCACTTCTGTGTGCAGTAACAAATGTCTATAAATTAAAAGTCTTATTTAAAAAAAATCAGTAACTCCTTAAAGAGCACCATGACTTGTGGATATTCTATCCCCTGAAAAAGTTGAAGAACCACAGGACTGGACAGTTATTTATTTCTTGTGACATCTAATTTTTCAAGCCTTTGTGTTTTAGCTCCCACAAAGAGAGCATGACTCCCACTGGGAGACCCTTCTAGGGAGAGCTGCCACCAAAGGGTCTGCCACGTCACCGGTGGTTAGCAGGGGGCAGCAGCGAGAATGCCAGGCAACAGGAACCTCGTCTGTACCTTTGTTTCCTTCGGGGATCTGCTTCTTTCTCTCTTCCTGCACCAGGGACTCCTCCAGGTCCTGAGGGCTCGCCTCCAACAGCTCCCACTCCTCACTGGTGTAAAACACACTCTTCCGACCATCATTATGCCCTCTCCCAGGACGGAAAGACGACATTGAATTTCTATTGGGAAAAATGAAGTGTTACATTATTTTTCAATGGTAAAACAAAATGTAATGTCACATGCATACAGTTGGCAAAAACTTAAAGATCTGATAACATCAAATGCTGGTGAAGATATGGAGAAATGGGAACTCTCACACACTGCTGAGGGGAGTGTAAACTGAAACTATTACCGTGGAAAACAGTTCAGCAACACACAGTTAAGGTGAAGAGGTATCTACCCCAAGACTCAGCTACCCAGAATTTCTTTAAGAAATTCTTGGACATGTGCACAAGGAGACACAAACAAGAACACCACTGCAGCGCTGTTCACATTAGCAAAAAACCCAAAAATCTAAACATCCGTTGTCAGGAAAAGAGACAAAGACACTGTAGTATATTCATACAATCCGATACTATACATAACTTAACATGAATTCATTCGTTCAATAAATATTAATTAAGTGCCTTCTATGTGCCAGGAACCACTCTAGGTGTTTGGGATATGCCAGTGAGCAAATGTTCTTGTCCTTGTGGAATGCACATTCCCTCTAACACTACATGGATCATATGGACAGATATTTTTTGACTGCTGAATGAAAAAAGAAAGAAAATTGAAGAATGACATGTGCAACATGGTATTTTAAAACTTCAAGATAATACTATTAACATATATTATTTAGAGATACATACATAGTAAAACTATAAAAAATTCACACGAGAATAAGAATTATCAAGTACAGAATACTGGTTACCTCTGTGAAAGGCAAGAAAAGAATGGGATTGTGGAGAAGAGAGGCTCCAAAATGCATATGTAATGTTTTAATCTGCTTTCAAAACATGAAGCAGAAATATGACAAAATTATATAATAGTAGTGGCTACCCAGGTAATCAATTTACCATTCTCTATACTTGCCTGTGCACTACAATTATTTCATTAAAACTTTTTAAAAGACTCAGCTGAGATTTCTACTTCCAGTGAAGATGGACCAACAGGGACTGGATTTACAGTCATCTGAAACAACTGAAAAACTGAACAAAACCTAGGGAACACTGGTTTTCAGATACTGGACGTCAGGCTGCACAGCGATCCCTGAGGGACAGAAAACAGGTGAGGTGAGCCTCCCCCAGCCCAAGCTTACTGCGTGGAGAGTTTCCAGGCCACGGTGCAGGCAGGGGGAACCCAGGTGCAGCCCTGGTAAGACTGAGCTGGGAACCCCACGGCAGGTGGAGCTCACCAGGCACAGCCCTGGAGGCAAGAGAGCTGTACAGAAGGGCTGAAGAGATGTCAGGGTTCCCCAAGTCTCCAGCTGAGCACGATCACGCTTGCGTATAAGAAAGCTCCAAGAATGGGGAAAGAACTCCCTGAGAGGAGCGCAGGGAACAATCCCCGAGGCTCACACAGGGGCAGGAATAGTGTCTGGTCCCACCAGCCAGAGTGGAAAACTTCATATGTCATGGGGTCTTAGGTATGTACTCATTATCGCAAGACTAAAGGCTGCTCTCCTACCACATAAAAAAGCTTAAAAGTGCACTTCGAAAGTATCGAACTGTTTCTGAGTAAACTACATTCCAGAACAAAGCTCAAGAATATGTAGAGGAACACAAAAAAAATCTAGCACCGGGAAAGTAAAACTCATAGTATCAGGCAGCCAACAGAACATCACCAGGCATGCGAAGAAGTAGGAAAATACAGCTCACTATGAGGAGGAAGATCAGCAGACAGAAACAGACCCAGAGATGACAAAGGATGAAATTAGCAGACAACTTTGAAAGTTATTATAACTGTTTCCCCATGTTTGAGCAGCTAGAAGAAAGGCTGAACACACTGGACAGAGACATGGAAAATGTTGAAAAAAATCAAAATCAAAACTTCTAGAGATAAAACCACAATTTTGATAAAAATACATTAGATGGGATTAAGAACAGATGAGACATTGAAGAAAGATCAGTGAACTTGATGACAGTGCAGTACGAACTATCCAAAATGAAACAGAGAGAAGACAAAAGAAAGAAATAAAGGAAGAATCAACGGGCCATGGGACAATGCTAAGCATATAAAAAAATCAACCAATGTTCAACAAGGGTGCCAGGAAATTCAATGTGGAAAAGATAGTCCTTTTAAAAAGTGGTACTAGAACTGGTTATCTGAATGGCACAAAGTGAACTTCAACCCTTACCTCACATCATACAGAAAAACTAACTTAAAATATACAAATTACCTAAATGTAAGAGTGAAACCATTAAAATTTAAGGAGAAAACATGGAAGAAAATATTTGTGACATTGGGTTAGGCAAAGATTTTCTAAACAGAACACAAAAAGCACAATCTGTAAAAGATTAAAATGGTAAAATGAACTTTATCAAGATAAAAAAATTTTCTTCTCTGAATATCTGTATAATCTGACAAAAGGCTTGTATCCAAAAGATATAAAGAACTCTTACAACTCAATAATGACAGAATAAACAAGTCAGTTAAAAAGTGGGTGAAGGACCTGAACAGACAGTTCTCCAAAGATACACAGATGGCTGACAAGCACAAGAAAAGATACTCAACGTTGTAAATTCTCAGGGAAATGCAACAGAAAACCAAAATGAACCACACCCACACAACAGCTCAAGTTAAAAACACTGGCAATGCTAAGTGGTGGGAAGGATGTGGAGCAACTGCAATTGTCCTGAGCTGCTAATGGGAACGCAGAGGGGTGCAGATGAACTGGAAGACAGTGCAGCAGTACTTCATAAAATTAAATACACACCCAGCAATCCCAACTCCACATATCTACCCAAAAGAAATGAAAACAAGTCTACACATAGGACTTGGATATTCAGGGCAATATTCAGGGCAAGCATTATTCATACTAGTCCCAAACTGGATATAAACCAAAAGTCCATCAACTGGCGAACAGATAACCAAATTGTGATATACCGTACTTACTGCATACCACTGAGCAATAAAAAAAGGAAGGAGATGAATGGAAACACTCAACAATATGGATGAGTCTCAAAAAGATTATGCAAAGTAAAAGATGACAAATACAAAGAGACTACACACAGTGTGATTCCACTTATGTGAAATTCTCAAACAGGCAAAGCTACAGTGAAAGAAAACAGATCAGAGGTTGCCGGGGGCCAGAGGTTAGGGGAGGGGATCAATTGCAGAGGGGCGTGAGAGAAGTTTGCAGGGCAGCAGAAATGCCCTAAATCTTGATTATGGAGGTGTTTACATGACTATGTACAATTTCTAAACTCTATCAGCCTGTTCACCTAAGTGAATTAATCATGGGTAAATTATACTTCAATAAGGTTATTAAAATAAACAAATAAAGAAGAGGAAGAAATGTGCATCAGCTGGTTTTTCCTGAGGTGGATTAAAGGTTAAGGGCGGAAAAGGGAGTTTCACCTCTAGTGTGAATCAGGCAGATGACATTATCATGTAAAATAATCATTTTTCAATGTTTTATGTTCTAGAAAGCATGATTTTTTTGCCTTCTTTGAATTTCATTAAAGTGCCTTAAAAATTTAGAAGAATGTAGAGAAATTAACATCCTTATGTTCCCATCACTCTATGAAAATACACAATGAATGCACAACCCTTTGCTAACTGTTTTAACAAGGAGTCACGAGGAATCTAGCAAGTGCACCTGCTTATATATTTATACTTGATAAATGTTTTCTTGCAGTTTATTTACCTGAGCCCAAGTGTGAATTAGCAAATAAACAGGGTAAAGCATGTTACACGTGCCGTGTATTTCCTAAGTCTCCTCTAGTGCCTGGCAACCTGTGCCATACATTTCCACAGACAACTGCGCAGAGGAATTCCAGTCAGTTCCCCACTATAATCCAATGAGCAATGTTGTGGTGAAGTCTGATTTTATAAAAATTACAGAATTGCAGAAAAAGCTATTTCAAAATAGTTGCTCAGAAGAAAAAGAAACTCTCACAGATGCCTGACACAGTTTTGCTCGTTTCTTTGACACAACTGGCCGAGTACGGGCACGGCTGGCCCCACCGCGGTACAAAGTTCCAGCGGCCCTGCTTACTGCACGGGCCTCAGGGCAGCCTTCACACGCTCGTGGCAGGTCGCCGCCGCCACCGCCGACTGGGGGCCAAGTCCTCCTGGCCGCGCGCCCCGGCCTTCCAGCTGCGCTGCTGGGCTCAGGTCCTTGAAGGGTGGGTGCAGGATGCGCAAATGAGAGAGCAGGGGAGAAAGGACAGCGATTTACATGGCTCCGAACTTCCACACGCCCTCCTTCCCCCGACCTGCCACTGCTACTCTGTCGCAAGGCCCACTTGCACAGAAGTCAAGCTCCCACCTGCAGCAGAGGGACTGAAGCCTTGGTTGAGGAAGGTACCACCTGTCAAGACTTAGGTGATGAAGAAACAGGATAAGACTCAAAGTGAAAGCCTCTTTAAGCCGAAACACTTGAGCCAATCTCTGCTTCAGATCTTATGTGGAGAAACCCAATTCTGTGATTGTGCAACATGAGGGTCATTAGAGAACACGCTTCTTAAGCCACTCACCCTATCCGCTCCAGCCGGCAGAGGCCTCTGCACTGACCAGGCATCCTGCTGTGTTTAAATGGGGTTCTCCTGGTTGATGCTCGAGGCCGTTCCGGTACAGAGCTTGCTCTTTAAAGAACCCAATGTTGTTTGACAAACCTTTGAGAGGAACTTCTATGTCCTTCAGGACACCGTGCTAGGTGCCTGCTGTTCTATTCAATACTCAGCTACTCTGATTTGAAATAAAAAGTCAGAGACCACCAGGCAGCCAGATGTCACCCTGAGGCCTCAGTGCTCAGCCTGAACTTTTTAAAACACATACCAGCAGTCTATATAACTAATTAGAAAACCTGTTTCCAGGTTTACATATTTCAGATCAGTTTCTCCACATACAGTTTAAGAGGTCCAACTAAAACAGTAATAATTTATTCAACATTCATTTCAACTCTGATAATCCCCCAGAACTTTAGAAGTTGACAGAACTACTGGGAAATGTCCCATTAAATCCTTCAAGAGCT